CCCCCTCTCTTCCCCTTGGCCGCCCCTCTCCACTTACATCCTCTCCCATGGAAAACCTAAAACTTTCATGTTGTTTGAAGCTAAGAGAAGAAGACAAGTTCTTTCCTCCTTTCTACCAATGGTGTATGGCAGACCCTAAGGTCGACCATGGATTTGTCTTCGACGAGCAAGGACGAACTGATATTCTTGGATCTCCGATCTTTGACGTGTACTTTGATAATGACGAGATTGTTAATGAATACATCGACTGCTTCTTATACCAACTAACATTATCGATTGAAGAGCACCTTCAACCAGGTCATTGGATATTCATCGGTCACCCATCGCCTCCTCCACCGCCGGCTACTTCTCCATCAACGACTGTCTTCGACGTCGTCTTCCTAGTGATAATATCCTTCCTCGTATGGTTCATCTTTCTCCGCTAAAGCCTAAGAGTGATTGAGTGAGAAGGCACTCAAGGTGAACCTCTCGTTATTAAGTGGTGGATTATGTTATGTCCATGTATCATTTACTATAGTCTTTGAATTTTAATCGGATAGTTTGGTTAATCTCAAAAGTGTTTCTTTGCCTAAGCAAGTTGAATACTTGGAATTTCTAACTTCTCTTTATTTGCAAGCAATAACTTTGTTAGCAACTTTTAGTCAATTGTCTCGTTTTAATTTCTCAAGTAACTCCTAGTAGTTTCACATCAAATATACCTTACGAGAATGCTTTCATAATTGTTTTGCTAAAATTAGTTAACGGTACATCATTGGATTTCATATAATTTGGCGGAATTATGCGAAACCAGGAGACATGGAGGTTTTATCACCTTAGTGTCAGCAATAGTTGGAGAAGCTGGAGCTTCCTTAAATATTGTAGTAGACCCTTCTATTTTCACGCCTTGTCCCTCATCAGATACACCGCTATAATGCACAGTGAAAGAAAAAGTTTCATAGCAAGTTGGTAATGAAAAAAGCTGGAAAGGAAAATTATATTGAAGAATATACCTCATCCTCAACAGTGCCTCAATGTGGTTATATCACCTAGACACATTGACATAGTCTGCTGATGGTGGAGCAGAGAATTCAGCATGCACAACAATGTCATCCTTTGAAGCTTGGTAGCTGATTGAAGTTTTTACTCGATTGCCAGTAGGTTCAAAAGAAATAATAAAGGAAATGAATTAGATTAAGGTTTCGTTTGGGATAGCTTTTTTATTGCTTCTTAAAATAGCTTTCTAGTTATTGATTGAAGTTTTTATGATGCCATACGCATGTTTGGCGTTCAGTTGGAGATGCTCCATGGGAGTGGAGTAGCTTGTTCCACAAATGGAAACCATTCATCAGCTCTCTGAGCATAAGCCTGCACTCTTACATGAACTAGGGTGCCTTTGAGAGTTTTATGTCGCATAACAGGTTGTTTATTCTTAAGAACCATAAGCTCTAACTCCATCTGCAATAGTTCTTCTTTTGGTACTTTAACCAGCTGAGTTTTGGATACGCAGATTCAATGACATGATTAGTTTTAATATTATATAGATCCTAACGGCTGTATGGATCCAAGTGATCAAATTCCCTATAAGGAACTGCAGGTTTTGATTTTCAGCAGCAATAGGAAGATCGTATCATCATTTTTTACTTTTTCTTCTGATAGATTTCTTTGATCTCAGCAAGAAGAGATGCAAAGAAGAGGCCACCACTAATAACTCAGAAAAATAATATTAGATCTTAACAAGCAAATTCTTCCTACATGGCCAAAAAATTACATCCAAAAACCTTAAGGACTCTAGCTCATCAAATCTTATTGAGTAAAATTGAAACTGAGTCATTTGTAATAGTAATCTGCATAAATTTAAGACCATAACTTATTAAAGTCAGCATGACAACCAGTCCATTCCTCTTGTTTCTGTTTCAAACGGTCCAATATGAGGGGCAAAGCAACATTAGCATTCTTTCCAAAGCATCCATTATGGCGAAGCCATTTTCAACATATAACCGTTTAATGCAGTTCAAATTTCGAGATTTTTAAAAGAAACGATTTCTCATAAGGAAAAAATAATTAAGATGAAAAAATAATTAAGCACATATGTAAAATGATTGTGATGAACACAAACAGTTTAAGTGATCCTCAATGTGAAACGGGGATTCTAATTTGTTGATATCATCCTGCATCTTCAATACCAAATTCTGAACTTTCTCAACTGTTGAATTTGCCAACTCTACTAGCATATACAACTCATATCTGAACACCACAAGCACAAGCATAGAATTTAAAAATCACATACAAGAACTGTAGATTTGCCTCTTGATTAAAATAAACACCCAATATTCATAAGAGTATTAAATATCATTTGGCATCATAATAGTAAATAGAGGAAGGAAATAGTGATTGTAATAAAAAACATTTATCTCAAATATCATGAAATGACAAAAGCAATTTCATTAAATAAAATGTGGCACCAACAAAACAATCATTAAAAAATAAATAAAAAATACTTAAAAAATATTAAGGGAAAAAAATTTGTCATCTATCATCTTCACATTTAAATAAGCTTTTCTCGTATTGACTTTTCCTCGATGGATTAGAAGAATAAGCTTTAGTTCCAGATGTCACTAAAACCCAAACATCATTTAGAACGGATTTGACAAGTTCAGTTCTATCGCTTGAGACAGGTGCACGACATTGCCAGTCAACAACAATTTAAATATTCTCGTGTGACTGTTTGGGTGTAGAGCGAATTTAACGAGCGGACTCTTCCTCTCGAGCCAATGGAATTCATAAATCCGGCAAAAAAGGATTTCGAAAATCCAAGATTTAGCAAAAAAAGGTGGAATTTTTCGTCTACGACGGCTTTCTTTTGCTATGAGATTTAGTTTTGCATTTTAGGCCGTTTGGCTAGATTTCACTCAAATCCGGCCTAATTCCTGCTACAAAATAGCCCCTTCATTTCCATTAAAAGTGTAACTTTCCACACAATCAACCAAGATAACAAATAAAACAAATACAAGGACAATTGATCACATACAAGCTCCCCATAACAAGCCATCCATTTTAACACTCCTTACTGCTGCTTCAAGCTTCTGCATGTCTGTCTCATCATCCCAAGGCTTAATGTCCAATAAAACTAAAGACTTTCCACCTGTTGAAAATATGTTGCAAGTAAAATAATAATGAGTACAAAGTGAAAACTTTGATATGACATAAAAAGTTAAAAGCCTTACTCTCTTTCTTCTTTCTTGATGCTTTCACGGCAGCTGCACGATCCTCGATGGCCTTCTTTTCCTCCTCTGTCTCCTCGCCGAATATATCAACATCATCATCATCATCCTCATCAACTGGGGCCTAAATCTCAAGTTCCAAATAGAAAAAATTGCATCATGGCTGAATAGAAGATATCTAGGATTGTAAAAAACTTAAATAACTAAATGCAATCAGAAAACTAAAATACTTTCAGCAGTTGAAGCAACATGCATATAATATATTCTTTCAAAAAATGATAGAATTTACTGCTTTCAAGTACAGTTCTGCTTTCTAGTGAGAGAAACCCTTCGTCTTTCTTCAAATTTTTTGTTTGGCAGGAAATCCACGCTGCCTGTGGATGGGGAATCCGAACCGCCGGCAGCCTCTTGCCAGTGGGATTGCGCATAAGAATGTTGGATTACGTTCTTTGTCTCCGGTCAAGAAGAGTTCGAATCTGGTAATCCGGGAGAGGGATGAATCTTTCGGTCGGAAAGAAGTTTATACTGAAGGGAAGGGCAAGAACCCGATTTTGTCTTCTCTACCTGAAATTGAATCTGAGATTTCTGTTGATGGTGAAGTTTCTGCTTCAGATATTATTTTGAGAAGGAGTAGTAAATTCACGGGATTTTATGATGAAAGCAATCAGAATGTGATAAACAAGAATTTGAATAATAAGGTTGAAGGAAGAGATCTAAATATTGATGGTAGTTTAGAAACTTCAAAAAAACCTGTCCTTAAAAACAGCTTCGTATCTACCTGGGGGAAAATGCAGCACATAAAACTGGATTAGAAGATGGAAAATACTCAGATGACAGAGGATGGTTTGGCTGTGAAGATGAACGTAGATCGGGAAACTCCTAACACACAGATCCTTGAAAAATCTCTGCTAATAAAAGTCCTAGGGAAAGATGTTCCCTTCTCTGTTTGCAGCCTGGAATTACGAAGACAATGGAGTAGATATGAGAAATTCCATTTAACAACGCTTGTGCTAGACTGGATTCTGTGCTCTTTCAGTAATGCTGAATCTATGGAAGAAGTTTTGAGCGGAGGACCTTGGTATATTAGCAACCATATTATTGGGATTGATAAATGGTCCACCTTCTTCTCGCCAAAGTCGTTGAAAGGTTTGACATCACCTGTATGGATTAGATTTCCATTCTTGCCTCAAAGCTGTTGGGATGAGGAAAATATAGCCCGAATTGCTTCAGTTATTGGAACACCGTTGTTCCTTGATGGGAATTCTCTTAGATGGGGAAAGAGAGAATATGCACGTGTCTGTGTGCGTATTAATCTTGATAAGAAATTGCCTAAAGGTGTGTGGATAGAAGGAATTCAAGGAAGAATTTTTCAAAAGGTGGAATACGAGAAGATGACTTCTCTATGCTACCATTGTGGTATTATTGGACACAGCAAGAACAGTTGTCCGGAGCTTAATTCTATCAAAGTTGCTGAATAATTGATGTATCAGACTGTTAAGGAAGGCCTTAAGGAAGATGTACAAAACTTGAAGCCATATGAAGATAGTGATGAATACGGTCCATGGATCCATGCCAATTTCAAAAACATGCATTTTAGAAGGTATAACAATAGTAATGTGGGAGTTAACGGAGGGAAGCAAAAGGTCTATAGACCTGTAATGAAGAATGACTGGAAACAAAATGAATCCACAGAGAAGAATCAAGTTGTTAGTGATAATCTTGAAAAACTAGCTGTGGATAATGAGTACCGGAAACAAAATGAAGAAAGTCAGGAGAATCAAGTTGCTGCTGGGAAGGATCATGCTGATAATCTATCAGGAAAGCTAGATTCTAATATGGAGGTTAAAATTGCTAATGTATATGGTAATTATAAATTTCAAGTGCTGCTTGAAGAACAAGAGGAGGGAGAAATCGCTGTAGTTACTGAAACAGAGGAAAGAAATTCCAAAGAAAATGATGCTGAAATAATTTCAAATGCAGACAAGTCATCTAGAATTGATAGATTTCGGAGTTCAGGAGATCAAATTTCAAATTCTGATAAACTTAAGCTCTATAAGGAGATTAGATCTTTGGGTCCTGTTGAGGTAACTCATAGAAAGAGGAAAGGGGATAGCAGAGCTGGAAAAAAAGGCGCGGACTCTTCCCCTCTCCATCATTAATGTCTTCATTCATTTTCTAGAACTGTAGGGGGGCAAAGAAGCGTGAAGCCTCCCTATATCTTAAGGAGATAGTAAAAGAAAATGGTGTCTTTTTTGTTGGACTAACTGAAACCAAGATGACTAATATTGAGAGGAAAGATGTGGATATGTTGATTGGTAGGAACTGGGATTTCTTTCATCATCCTGCTGAAGGACTTTCGGGTGGTATCCTAATTCTTTGGGATAAGAATATTGTATCATTTGAGGTAATTGAGAACAACTCACAAACTGTTGTGGTAATTCTTTCTTTCACTGAAATGGACAATTGGAGAGTAGCAATTGTATACGGAGGCAGAGATGTTCATACCAGAAGATCGCTTTGGGAAACTTTGGAAAGGTGTATGCCTGATGATATACCTTCAATCATTGGAGGTGATTTCAATTTTATTCTATCTAAAGAAGACAAGAGGGGTGGTAAGAGGTTTAAATTTACCAAAGGGCATAAAGAAATGAAATCTTATATGGTGAATAATGATTTTCATGAAATTGATTTTGTTGGACCAAGATTTACTTGTTGTAACAACAAGGAGGGTGCTTTCAGAATTTGGGAGAGACTTGATAGATGTTTAATGAATTCAGCTGCTTTGCAAAAAAGTCCTATGGCCTTGGTTCGACATCTTCCACGGGTTGCTTCTGACCACTGTCCGATATCATGTAAGGTGATTGAGTTAATTAACAAACAAACCAGGTTCATTCGGTTTGAAGACATGTGGAAAACGTATAATGCGGCTTGGAAGATTGTCCAAAATAACTGGAAGAAACATGATTATGGGAATAATGCTGAAATTCTCCAAAGAAAATTAAGAAGAACCCTTAAATCCTTATACTTTTGGAACAAAAACAAATGCAAGGTGTTAAATGTGCTAAAGGAACAATTGAAGAAAGAGGTTC